CCTAGACAGATGGTAGACGGGTGACGGACAGGAGGCGAAAAAACAGAGTGAGACCGAGGACACCATCACCGCCTTGGCTCGCACTGCTCACTGCTCGATCCCACTTGCCGCGATGTGCGTCCTGGCACACCTTGTCTGCATGGATGGCGCCGAGTTTTTGGATTTCTCTTCACGGGAACAGCTGTTGATTGGCCACATTGAGGTGACAGACTACTTCTGCAAGGATCCTTGTGGTGTCACTCCAGCACTGACCGACGGGATATGACCATTCGATCGTTCATGGATAATAAGCCCGCTTGAAAGTGGGGGTTTGGCTTAGCTTGCGGATATGTGGGAGATGGTCCCTTGTTTGGTCTCGTTTTTGCACCCATGTTTTCAGCGATGCTCCCTGCATTGCCAAGTGTTGAGGGAAAAAAAAACCTTTCTACCACCAACGGCTGTGCCGCAAAATTGAAGAAAATCAAGATCGCTATTACCGGTAGTTGCAGAAGCTTAGCACTGTCCTGGTGAGCTTTTCGGGAGGCGTTCGACGGCTTCAACACTCACAGCATGAAGAGCTTCAAGGAGGGTGCGTACGATGACAAGCTCCTGAGGCATGTGAATCAGGCTGGAGATGGCATCTGGAGAGGAGGGTTACTCCCGCGCACCCACTTGCAACGTCGACCTTGGAACACGGCGGCCACATGCAGCAGGAAGCAACTGGAGAGTTGGAGATATTCTGGTGAGATGTGAGTGACCAGGAACCAGAAACCAGTCGCTCCACCCCCACCACCACGTTGGCGGCCCGACCAGACACGATGGATGATGGAGCCCTCCGAATACCAGAGTTGCAGAGACAAACCCTTCCACCTGCTTCAAGGGCCTTCACACCCTTTCACGCCACTTTTCTTCTCGAAGTTTTGCTGCCAATGATGACCGCTGAACCAACGGATTCGCTGATCCCTTCACTTTCCGGTATAAACCGCCCATCCATAACGATCCATTTACCTGGGCATTCCACAAGACGGAGTCGCAATGAGGGTCTAGCCAGCTACGCGGCCTCCGACCTAGAGCTGTCCGGCCTGGTCGATCCCACTACGCTAGCACGAACCTAACCATACCTCCGATGGGCCCCAAGGTTTGATTCGCCCCTTGCCATCTAATCTGATCATCTGATAAAGGCAAAGATTGGGCGACATCGGCTGGAGATTTTTATGGATGTTGGGACGGGGGGTCCATCTGCCAATATAGAAAGGCCCGCATAGAACCTCGTGTCCTCGATCTGAGTTTTCTCCTTCTCTTGGTTCTTCAAGCAAGGTCAAACAGGCATTCGCCTTCAATATACTATTCCTTCTTGCCAACAGCTTCCCCGTTTCCACCCTCTTGAAAACCCTGTTCGTTGGGTTTTTCTACTGTGGCACTTCGTCGCCTTTTTTCTTGCGACCGATAATCAACAATGGCTACCATCGAGCCGCAGACGGCCGCCCACCGCACAGAGGCTGGCATCGACTATGAGAAGAACATTGCCTACGACAATGGCGCCCAGGAGGTCAACCATGACACCAAGCAGGAGTCTGACGCTGAGAGCGAGAACTTCCAGGGTGGTGTTCAGCGTGTCAGAGCCATCACCTCCGTGTGGTCCAAGAAGACCATGATCATCATGTTCTGCTTGTGAGTTTCTCGCATTCCGCCACCTGGGCAACTCGAAGTGATCCCTGAAGCAAATGACTGACTTGTGTTCGTTTTGAAAAGGCTCTACCTTGTCTCCTTCGCCGATCTGCTTCTGCAGTCCGTTCAGGGCTCCCTGAACGCCTTCGTCACATCATCCTTCGGAAAGCACGGTCTCCTGGCCATCGTCAGTATCTTCGCTACTATCCTGTCAGGATGCTGCCAGCTTGTCATTGCAAAGATCATCGACGTTTGGGGACGTTCCGAGGGTTTCGCCATCATGATCCTGTGCTCTGTCATCGGTATGATCATGAAGGCTACCTGCAAGAACATGGAGACCTACGTTGCCGCCCACACCATCTACTACGTTGGCCACTTTGGCATGATGTTCGTCATTGACATCATGATCGCCGATATGACTTCGCTGCAGAACCGTATGATCATGTTCGGAATCAACGGTACCCCCACCATTGCCGTCACCTTCGCCGGCCCCAAGATCGCCGACCTCTTCTACACCAACCTCAACTTCCGCTGGGCTTTCGGTGCCTTCGCCATCATTCTTGCTGGTGTCTGCATTCCCGCCCTGACCATCATGCTGCTCATGCAGCGCAAGGCCGAGAAGGCTGGTCTCTTGGCCAAGGCTAAGTCCAACGACCGCTCTTACCTCCAGGGCTTCATCTACTACTTGATTCAGTTCGATAGTAAGTTTTTCCATTTCAGCTGATTGGAAAATTCGCGGGACCAGGCGCTAACCATGTTCCCAACAGTCATGTGCATTGTCCTCATCATTGCCATGTTCTCCATGATCATGCTTCCCTTCAACATCGTCTCCTACGCCCCCAACGGCTGGAAGACTGGCTACATCATTGCTATGGAGGTCGTCGGAGTCGTCCTCATCCCGATCATCTACATCTGGGAGAAGTACCTCGCCCCCGTCAGCTTCATTGATTACAAGTACCTCAAGGAGCCGACCCTCATCGGCGCCTTCCTTCTCTACGGAATCATGTTCATCTCCATCTTCACCTGGGATACCTACTACCAGTCTTACCTCCTGGTTGTCCACAGACAGAGCATCACCTACGCCGGATACATCCTGAACGCCTTCTCCCTGACCTCCTCCTTCTTCGGCCCCATCTTCGGATTGATCATTAGATGGACTGGTGACTACAAGTACACCGCGCTTGCTGGTGTTCCCTTCATGCTTCTGGGTACCGCTCTCCTGATTCCCCTGCGTAAGCCCAGCACCCCCGTCGGTGCCCTGGTCGTCATGCAGATGCTCAACGGTATCGGCACCGGTCTCTTCGCCGCCTGCGGTCAGATCGCCGTCATGGCCGTTGTCACCCACCAGGAGATTGCCTCCGCTATGGCCATCTACTCCCTCTTCGGTGGTATCGGTTCTTCCATCGGTTTCGCCATTGCTGGTGGCCTGTGGAACAACATCATGCCCACGGAGCTGTACAACAACCTCCCCGACTACGCCAAGAACAGAACCGCTGAGATCTTCGGCGACGTCACGATCCAGATGTCCTTTGAGGACGGCGACCCCATTCGCGACGCCATCGTTGCCGCCTACGCTGATGTCCAGCACAAGATGGTCATTGCCGGTTCTTGCTTGGTTCCCCTTTGCTTGGCCTCCATCCTTCTGTGGAAGCACATCAACATTAAGAAGGTCGAGAGCGAGAAGGGTACCCAGACCAAGGGCAACGTCTTCTAAACGAATCTGTTTTACCTTTGATCGGCCTGGGTCAACCCCAAGTCCGTATGGACCAAAATTCTCGTCATGTGTTTCTAGCCATCCGGCAGGGACTACGCATTGCGGACTCATCATACCCCTTATCCGCATGTCGAGGACCTGCTAAAACCAATGTGTTTCAATCTTCCTTGGTTGGACTCGATAAATGTACTTAATCGCATGGGCCGGCCTCAGAAAGGGGACCCGACAAATAATCTTTTTCAATATCACACTCTTATGAAGTAACCCTGTGCCCCTCGCTGTATGCTTTGTGAATGATCATGTGTTCAAGAGACATTTGAGTTTGACGAGCTTTCGTGGAAAGTGATGTCATATTACGGGGCAAGACTCAGCAAGTAATCGTGTCGCGCAGATACTGGGAAAAGGTTTCGAGAACCTCGCAACTTTATACTCAATGCGGCTCTGTTATTGTGACTGCTCTGTCACTCAGGAAACAGTTTTGGGTGAGGCCTACCTGAATACTTTTTGTAGCATCAGTATAAATCATTAATGCCACGGCTTCTATGCCGCGATTAAGAGATGAGCGAGGTTCATCTGCTTCGAACTTACCACCACTTTGCCTCAGGTTGGGTACTAAGTCAGACGACAAGTCCAGCAGCAACTGCCAGTCGAGATTGGCAGTAGGCTTCGTGGTGCATGATGATCTTATCCGGGTTGATCGTCAAGTCGAATGTACGTGGTATCTTGAGCTTCATCCACGCGACATTGACGGGGGAAGATCCCGAATCGGACAATAAAGCAGCTCATTGCCATGTGGCTTGACATGTATGGATATTGAGCTGTGGCCAAATTAAATGCTGGCGCCAGAGGCCACATGTACAGAGTCAGATATGCTCCCCCGCACAGTCCCATGAGGCATTCCTGCGCCGTGGTGTTTGGACAATCAGCAACAATTGATTGCTCCGATCCGTTGTGGGTTCAAATCTATGGTAAGATATCACTGCATGCAGCAAGAGCGAGACCCTCTGTCTCCTGTGGCGCCGCGTAAGAGCGAATGAAGCGAGGCGGTCCAATGTCAGACCGAGCGAGAGCGACGCCCACGAAGGATGCGCCAGTGAAACATTCGAAAGCCAATGGAGGTGCTAGCGCCGTTGGTCGGCACAACTCCTCTCTAAAATCCCCTCCCTGCAGCAAGCCACCCGCTTACACTCCCATCCTTCGCACCGGCCCCAACTGTACTGCCACAAGTGGAGTATGGGATACTCAGGCATATTGCTGGAGTTCATCCGTCGAGCGGTGAAATCAAGCTCACGGTGGCGTCCTTAGTGCTTCGAGCAATGGCCACTTGGTGAAGATGTCGGCACAACAGGACTCCATGAGGCGTCATCCGCGACGCCAGCCTCTCGTCTCACGGCGCGGGGTCGCAGCGTGGAAGGCATAGCATAACCTAGGAATGATAATATTGCCATGCAAGTTCGGGATAGAGAAGGATGGGTATAAGTAATGAATGATGGAACGACTAGAAGTTGTGATTTTAGAAACGAGACTACAAGATCATCAATCAAGACATTCATCACATTCCGACCTCTCATATCTTCAGTTTCGCCCTCACCACACACTACCACCATCACAAACTTCATATCAGACTCTTAACTTCAGCATGTCTGCAACCACTATCCGCAAGGCCGTCATCACGGAGTTCGGCGACGTCTCCAAGGTCCAAATCATTCAGGACACCATCGAGCCGCCTCCGGCAAACCACGTCCAGGTCTCAACCATCTACTCCGGTTTCTCAGGTGCCGACATCAACATGCGCAAAGGCGTCTACCCCATGCAGAAGAAGGCCCCGCTGACTCCGGGCTACTGCCTGGTCGGCACTGTCAAGACCACCGGCCCAGGGTGCACATCCAAGCTCTCGCCGGGTGATCTCGTCGCCTGCCTCACAATTTACGACGCCGAAGCCGAGCTGGTCAACCTGCCGGAAAAGTACCTCATCAGAGTACCCCCCGGGACCGACCTGCAGCAGGCCACAGCCCTCATCCTAGACTGGAACACAGCGTACGCCATGGTCTTTGACGTCGCCAAAGTCAGCAAAGGTCAGCGCGTCTTCATCCACGGCGTCAGCGGGGCCGTCGGCTATGCCCTTATGAAGCTGTGCCAGCTGCAAGGCGCCGAGGTCTACGGCACGGCATCGGAGCGGAACCACGCCGCCGCCCGGGAGCAAGGGGCCCACCCGTTCGTGTATACGGACAAGAAGTGGATGCAGGCCGTGAAGGAGCTCGGCGGGGCGGACGCCGTGTTCGATCCCCTCGGGTTCGAGAGCTGGGATGAGTCGTTTTCGGTTCTGTCGCCTACCGGTATCTTGGTCGGCTACGGCGGCAATCTACGCTCACTCAATGACGATTCGGAGCATGGCTCTGTTGTCTTGCCGACGATGAAACTTATGGCGCGGGGCATGGTGCCGTTTTGCGGCAAGAGGACCAAGTTCTACTACATCACGCGCGACGACGCGACGTTTGAGCCGAATCTGAAGGCTTTACTTGAGTTGGCGGCCGAGGGCAAGATCACCGTTCCCATCAAGAAGGTGTGGGAGCTCGAAGAAATTCAGGATGCCCATCGCCAGTGGGCAAGCAGTACGGGGGTTGGATCATCGCTCATTCGGTTGTCGGATGCGAAGGCTTGAGTGAGCGAATGAGTGAGCGGATGAGTGAATGAGCGTGGTTGAGTGAGTGAGTGAGTTGGTGGGTGGAAAACTGTCAGATTTTGAGCAGCAGGCGTCACGGCGTTTTCATAATTGTTCATGTAACCCAATAGGCTTGGACTTATAATAGTAGAATGAATCTCCAAATGAGTTTTTCAAATGACCTGACCAATCTCGCCTTTATCATGGGGTGCATTTTTTACCTTCCTCATTCCGCCTGGCGGCGTCCAACATTTGGTGTTCTGGTGAACAAAAGGGCGTAAGACGGGATCATTGCGCGCCGCGCTTACGGGTTTACAGGCCCGCCATGCTGACGCAGCAAAAGGCTGTTCGGTTGCTCAACTCACTCTTCAGGCCCATGAAAGCAAGCTTCCCCTCATCTCACGCCGTTCATCTTCATCTCAATCGTGTTGACCGGCGCCTTCCCTAACATTAACTGCAGTTCAGCGATAAACTAAAGCGCGCCAGGTGATTGGCAGCAGCGACGAACACGGTGGAAGGGGCGACGTCTCTTCGCCAAAGGCATCTTTCCGACATTCGTCAACTTCTCTGCCTCGGGATAAGTACTCGTCAACTTCATCACAACACAATCGCTTCATCACAGTCTTTCATAGCCCGAACGCAATGAAGGTTTCAATTGGCCTGGCCGCCGTCACGGGTCTCGCCGGCTTCACTGCCGCCAAAAAGCCCGACCCTCCCAAGATCACCGACTTTGACTGGGATACCATCACGCCCGCCCGCAAGCTGGAATACCACCCATGCTACAAAGACTACCAATGCGCCCGCCTCAGCGTCCCTCTCGACTGGCTCGATGAGACGAACGAGCACACGGTCTCTCTGGCAATCATCAAGCTCCCTGCCACCGTCCCCGACGACGACCCATCTTTTGGCGGCACCGTTTTCACCAACCCAGGCGGGCCCGGTGGCTCCGGCGTGAGCATGCTGCTCCGCAATGGCCACGATATGCGCCGCACGCTAAGCGGCGGCAGCAAAAAGTACGAGATGCTGAGCTGGGATCCGCGCGGCGTGCAATTCACGACGCCTGTGGCTGATTGCTACGAGGACGAACTCGCAAGGGACACGGACAACATCCAACGTCTGGCCATCGGGCCGCTCGATGCCAGCCCGGATGCATTGAGGAGGCAGTGGGCGAGGATTCAGGGGTACGGCAGGCTCTGTACCGAGAAGCCGGGCAACGGCTCCATCATCCCATTTGCTACGACAGCATCTGTCTGCCGCGACATGGTCGAGATGGTGGACAAGATTGACGAGCTTCGCAAGAAAGAAGCTGCAGCTTCGCAACCCGAGCAGTCGCTAGAGCTCCGGAAGGTTAAGGATGTGCCGCGGATTCAATACTGGGGCTTCTCATACGGCAGCATCCTCGGCAATACGTTCGCCTCAATGTATCCTGGGCGCGTAGGCCGGCTTATTGTTGATGGCATCGCGGATTCAAATGACTACGTGGCAGGGGTAAGAGTGTACCTATATTCCCATTCACCTCTTCGCATGCGGCTAACACACGTGTGACTAGGGCTGGAAGACCAACCTTCAAGATACGGAGAAGCTTGTTGATTATTTTTACGAGACATGCTTTGAGGCTAAGGAGAAATGCGCGCTGAGCCGGCCTTCGGACAAGCAGTGGCAAGACGTTCGTGATCGAGTCGATCAGCTCGTGAAACGTCTCGACGAAGCCCCCGTCGCGGTACTCAACGGCAAGGTGACAAACATCTTGACAGGCTACGATGTCATCCTCTCCTTCAAGAACCCGCTCTACGCGCCCTACACTCGCTTCATCAAACTCGCCAACGAAATCAATGCTGCCATCGAGGGAAACTACACCGCCATCCTGGAGTCCGCCTCCGCCGAGATTCCCAAGATCGACCAGGCCTGTACCCATCCCAACGCCACAGATCTGAGGCTCTCCTGGGGAGACGGCGGTCAGGCGGTCCTTTGCGGCGACGGCGAAGATAACACGAATATGACCCTCGCCGACTACAGGGCCTACGTCGCGGTGCTCGAATCCCAGTCGCCGACCTTCGCCGGCTACTGGGGACAGATTCGGTCCGCCTGCACGAGCTGGCTCGTCCGCCCCAAGTGGCGCTTCACAGGCCCGTTTACGACACCGCCGCACGATGCTGCGGTTGTAGAAGGCCGGCCCGCAGCGCCGCTGCTCTTCATGTCTTCGCGACTCGATCCCGTGACGCCATTGAGAAACGCTTTCAAAGCGAGTGAGGGACACCCCGGGTCAGTTGTCGTGATTCAAGAGTCGGTGGGCCACGCTGCCTTTGCCACGGGGAGCAAGTGTACGACCAAGATCCTTCGGGAGTATCTTGAGCATGGGACAGTACCGGAGAGCGGGACCGTTTGTCAGCCTGATTGTGGCCCTTGGGATGGCGACGCCTGTGAGTCGGATAGCTTAAGCGTCAACGTGGCGCCTCTTGCGCCGCCGCATGATAGATCTCACCGAGTCTATTGAGGCAAGATGGGATAAAACAAGAGATTCGGGAAATGTCTATAGCGAGGATAGAGATATTCGTAGACGCGCCTCCACAGGGTGACCATGGGAATACGAGAGCAGCAAATAGCTACCTGTTAGAATTGTAGATTCAAGACACTGGGAAAGTCAGACATTGCTCAACGATCTCAATGAAACGTAAGACGTTGAAGCTTACTTGTAACGTTTGAACCCTTGCATGAAAGATGCTTCCGAGAAGCACCTGATCACAACTGGGTGCTTGTTCTGGAGATGATACCACTGCTGACCGCTGTATGCAGATGTCAGACGCACGTTTAGCTGAGCGGAGCTGAAGCCGATCTCACATCCGGCATCCGAGTTTGACTGTGTTGCCACGAAATTTCAAGAGATGCCGCAGGAAGTCCTACTCAATCCGACTGAGTGATGGGAGAAACACTTTCGTCCCATCGTTGAATACCATACTTGACTCCCTACCACAAAATGTTATGTCTTATCCTTCTCAAATCCACACCGACTTCTAGGTTACACTTGATAGAAGGCCCAACTGAGACATGGTCCCAGATGGACGTCAGTATCATGCTCGATACGATGCGCAGGGCAACCCCTCTCCTTCCGCCCTGATACGAGGTTTTTTGTTAGTCCGCCCTTGGGATCCGGGATCTAAGGTTCCCCAGACCGGGCTTGGGACCGAGGGGCGATCAACCTGCATGCATCCAACGAAGAGGCGATTAGGTACCGGTGCCTCCCCTCCCTCATGTTGCCAAACAGTCCCCAACAAAAGCCGGTAAAAGAGGGCATTACACAAAACGTGTTCCACTTCCCCTCCATGCCGGTGCCATTTCAGCTTCTACCTAAAGCACCTAGGGATTCGCACGCACGCACGCTAGTGACTGAACCCAGGTCAGCCCGAGGATCAATCTGTTCTAGTGTCTTGCGGGGAGATCGTGGCATTGGTCCGACTGACGCCACACTCGGGACGTTTTCCCTGGTTTTTCTGCCACAACCTTCTTTTTTTACGAGATCGATCGGCAGTGGTGAGGATTTAGCCTGGGAGGAAGATGATATTGTCAATGTTTTGCCAGTAGGACATCGTCATGATGGCTGACAAGGTACGAAAATATTTTCGAGGCGTAGACCATGTGAGTTCGTATCCGTCGTACGGGTGTCATTCCCGAAGACGGGCCATTGACGGTTGTGGGAGTACGAGTGTTGATCGTACAGCAGGGTAGGCGCTGGACTAATCTACATGAGGAAGAACCGAGGCATCTTGCTTCCTCGCAAAGTCAGGAGGATGTGGTTGAGGTCGCATCGTGTTTCTGAGTGAGTATAAAGATGCTGGTGAAGTCTCGATGACTAGGTTCGATAAAGTTGGTCAGACGCTCGTCCTACCTTAACCATCAATCTACCGGCCCGCCAGCACCAACATAATTTCAATCTTCAGCCCTACCTTGGAAGTTTTCTAATTCAAGAATTCTCAATATGAAGTTCGCAGTGCTTCTTACCTCAATCTCATTCATCCTTCCATCCCTCTCTCACCCGCTCGAGGATCGCGATGCCCCTCAGACAGTTCACCTTACCTTCCACGGTGGCCCCGCGTCTTACGAGATGACAATTCCCGCCGATGGGCAGGTGTATCCTACAAGTCAGTTCCAACCCCACACAATTGTTCGCATCGTTGAGAGTGTAAGAAGGAACACTAAACCGTTCACACGTAGACAACGACATCTCCGTCAACATCATCGACGCACCGGACTACAACGCCCTCTCCCAGTGCACCTTCTATACAAACGGCGAGAAGGCTCTGGTCGGCGGCATCACGCCCCAGGGTCTCCAGCAGGTCATCATCGGACCACCGCAGCCCGTCACGGGAGTCAGCTGTCTCGGTATCTGTGTCCCGACGTACGGGATGTGCTACGATCTCAACGGGCAGTACGTCGGGCCATGTTGCAACGGCTTCTGCGCGGCGACGAGGTGTAGACCTTGGATCCAGCCTTCTTAAAGACAACATGAAGGCAATATCGGTGGTTTTGGTACTCGCAACTTACTTCGCAAGTAGGATGTCGGCGCTGCGCTGGGCGAGACGTACACTCAAGCTGCCGTACGCGGCTTCAGGATCGATTAAAGTACAAGCTTGATCTCTTGAATCAGAGTCGTACTAAATAATCTGAATCACTCAGGCATCATTTTTAAGCAGTTCTATCCATGAAGTTATGTGTTCTGACAGACTATATGTGCAGTCTGAAGATGAGTTCGACATCAAATGTGATTTCACAACAAAAATCACCAACAGTTTTGATTCCCTTCCCTTGAATTACCACGCGGGCAGGTAGAGAGCAGTATCAGCCATCTAACATCTAGACAAATAAAAGGTCATGAACCCGCGTGATTACTTCATTTCCATGTTCTGTGCTTGCGACTGGTACCCAGTATTGATCGGCCCATAATCGGTTCGCCCCTCGACCTCGTTCTCATGCTGAATGAGTACGCAGCAGGGACACCAAAACGACACGCAGCAGTCGCCGCATGTACTTCCCTCGATGTGGAATTTCTTTCGGATATCGCCGCGCTTGTTCATGAGAAACCTAGTCAGAAAGGCATAGTCAGCGAGCTGCCGAGGAATGTCGTAGGTGCTTTGAGGGGAAAGATGGCAAAAAGTGCCGGCTCAGCATCTTATTAACTTACAGCCAACCGAGACCAATGGAGCCAAGGGCCGAGATCATAAAGCAGTCTCCGTTGATGGGTGAGTAGTCTGAGAGGCTGGGGTCGCGCATGCGCTCGGAGGTCTTGCCAAAGACTGATGCAGGAGACGGGGGGTATGTAAGTCAGCACTTGGATGGATTATCGGTAATAAGGTACTAGGGTAAGATGGTTTGGGGAAAGGTTTAGTTGACGTACCCATGCATGGAAGAAATGAGGCCATCATGCAGGTGCCGCATGGGCTGCAGTCCATGAGATCACTTTGCCATTCTTGACTTGGCATCGTGAGAGCAGGGCGAGGATAAACCAGCAGATTATGAATGTAGATAAGCCCTTCTGAGGTCAGCTTGATCGAATACACAGCTGCCGATATACTCGATTTGGTCTCCGAGCGTTCGACTCTGGGAAGCAGAATCAAGCGAAAGCAAAAGTAAAAGAATGCTTGAAGAAGCCGTAAGTATTGACAAAAGAGAGCCGCTCTGTTGTATGTCTGATTTATAATAGAGAGAACACCATTAACTACCGTAAACGAGTGATGAGAATATTACAGGTTGAGAAGTCTGGCTGAGCTCATTGACCATTCTACTAACAGGTTCCTGCTTCCCGGCTTTATATAATAGCCGAACAGGTTCGAACCACAAACTGCCTAGGCTATCGACCTCAACATTGCTCAATGCATAATATCTCCAAATCCACATCACGTAAGGTACGATACCTGGCAAGCCATCACCGGGTCCACACGAATAGGAAGATATCGACGACACCAAGGGTGTCCTTGCAAAGGTGTGCCCTGAAAAATATTATCAGCTTGCTAGGTCCGTACAATAAACGAGTTTTGGGAAGCCGAGACTTGCCCAAACTGCCGGAAAGGGTCACCTCAACTAGAAGAACGGCATATGACAACCGAATGCTGTCCGCTCGGTTCTGTTCTCACCAGAAATGTTGTCGTCAAGCCTAGGCCCCGCGTAGTTAGTGCAACGTTAGTATCATATGTGGGCACTTCCTCGCGAGTCGCAGGATCCACTAGCGGCCGACGAACAGATCGTCTGCAGGGGTCGTATAAAATACGACCCCAGTCACTTACTTTAGTCACGTACTTGTGCCGGTGGACCCCAGCTCAACGTGTCGAGGTCACTTTGGCATCATCCCGACGCAAACTTCTCCATTGCGTCTTCGAGAAAGGATTTGACATGCAGAGACCCAGGAAGAAACAATGGAGAGTTCCACCTCAAGCTGCGGCGACCCCGGAGTGATGGCTCTGAAGATTGTTGCCAGGCCTCGGGAAACTTGTTGGCGTCATGACAGGATGAAGGAGAAGAATAGTGGTCCCAGTCGTAGTTGAGCCATTCAATATACACATGCCAGTCCTGATTCATCACTTATCATGCCGACGGTGAGGATTGACATCCTTTCATTTGATCCCCTACTCTTCCGGTCGATGGGTCTACAATGCTGCAGAAAATGGATGCTTAATTTCCGCAATTGCAAAGCCTCATCCTGGAGACACATGCCGAGAGCTCTCGTCATTGTTGCCGGTACACTACTCTATATAAGAAAGGTGGTTTGCTGTTCACCCCTATTTCCTCGCACAAATTCACTGCTTTGGAAACCTCCTTACGAAGCTCAAGTCATCATACCTCATTCAGCCGACATGGCCCTCGCCGTCAATGGAAGCCGCTGCGCAAGCGCGACATTCGGGTCCCCTATACTGCTAGGGGCCAGTATTCTCGCGGTGCAAGCTAACCTGGTGGAAGACTACAGCTTCGACGTTCCAAAGGGATGGACCTACTCTCAGCCGGCCCTCAACGTTGAGAACGCTACCTTTTGCAACGTCACCGTTACCTACACGCACCCAGGACAGAACGACACCCTCACGGCCGAGGCCTGGCTACCACCCATAGACCGCTACAACGGGATTTTGCAGTCAGTCGGCGGAGGTGGCTGGAACCCCGGCCGCTTCATCCTCAGCTACGCAGCCATGATCAACGCCGTTGCCAACGGCTACGCGACTGTCACCACTGACGCCGGAATCCCTACTACCTCGAACCCCATCGACTGGCTGCTTAAAAGCCCGGGGAGCTTAGACACCAACGCTCTGCAAAACTTTGGTCAGGTCTCCCTGAATGATGAGGTACGCTGTCTTTCTTGGTCGACAACATGGCACATGTACCAAGCCACAATTCTAACCAAAACTTCTCGCAACAGGCTATTATAACGAAACAGCTTATTGAAAGCTTCTACGGCAAGCCTCCTGCGCGATCCTATTGGAATGCCTGCTCCCAGGGCGGCCGTCAGGGCCTCAAACTGGCGCAGCAATACCCAGACGCCTACGACGGCATCATGTCAGCCGCCCCCGCCGTCAACTGGGCCGAGTTCTACCTCAATTCGATCTGGCCTAGCTACTACATGCTCAAGACCCAGCAGTTCCCGCTGGGATGCGAACTCAACGCGCTCACCGCCATTGCCATCTCTGCCTGCGACGAGCTAGACGGTGTCAAGGACGGCCTCGTCAGTGATCCCGAGGCCTGCAGGGCAAACTTCAACGTTTCCGCGCAGGTTGGCAAGTCTTTCACGTGCGCGCAGACTAACTCAACGCTCGAACTTAGTCAAGCGGCCGCCAACGTGGCTAATGCCTCCTGGACCGGTCCCCGTTCTTCCACTGGGAGATTCATCTACGATGGGTACGAGATAGGCAGCAATCTATCCGTCATCGCACCGACAGAATGCACCGGTAAGGTCTGCACGAGCAGCACTGCTGAGGCAAACATTGCCTTTGCCTGGCAGGCTTTCGTCTCCAAAGACCCCAATGCTACGGTGCCTACTCTTACAGACACAACGTTTGACACGATCCACCGCGCCACCAAATTGGTCTTTGCCTCCAACATGGAGACCGACGAGGCGGACCTGAGCGACTTCAAAAACGCAGGGGGCAAGATCATTACCTACCACGGACTCGTAAATGCCCCTTCCGTTGCTTGATCCCTAACTACCGTACATTGTACTGAGCTAATATTCCAAAGGCCGATCAAAGCATCTCTCCTGGCGGCACTCTCCGATACTACAACACCGTCTCTGACGTCGTCGGCGGCAACATTAGCTCGTTTTACAAATACTATCGCGTCCCCGGGCTCGAGCACTGCTGGGGTGGCAGAGGAGGACAGCCCGAGGCCATCTTCGCGCAGCTTCGGGCCTGGGTCGAGAACGGGACGGAGCCGGAGTCTTCACCAGTGATCGTGACGCTGCCGGATGGATCGACGCAAGAGCAGGTGCTGTGCCCGTATCCGCAGAAGGCGAGGTTTGATGACGCGTGTGCGAGCAAGAACGCAACTTCTTGCTGGTCTTGTTCTGAATAAACTTGATACTTGGCAACTTGGCAATCAGTTAGGGTTTGGGAGACGGGGGTTAGTTTATTAGCTCTAGTTAGATTATAGGCTTTAGGTAATTTATTAATATAACCAGGCCGTTTCGTTATTACTTACAAAAGTTACTTCGAACGATTCTTTTTTTTTTATATATCTTATAGTATGGGCTTCGTAACGTAGGTAATATAGGGGGTTATTATTAAAAACGTATAGGGTATAGAGGACTCTCGTAGTATAGTACTTTAAAAGAATTATTAATATTTATAAAAGTAATATAAAATATCTCTTTTAATTAGGTTAATACGGCCTTAATTAACGGAGTTAAGACTAAGAAAAGAGGGTAGTATTAGCTAGATTAAAAAAGTAGACTTTTTAATCGTTTTATATTATTATATTTAAAAATAAATTATTAAAAGGGCTCTAGTTTAATTTTAAAAATATATATATATAATTAAAATAAAAATCCGCTTTTTAAACTTACTATTTTTAATTAAAGCCCTTTTTTTTATATTTTATTTTAATTAGCCTTTTTATAAATACTTATACTTAATTAGTTTTAAAAAAGAACTATTAGGATTAATTATCCTATTCTATTTTAATTATTCCCTAATTTTTTTTTTTTTAATTCTTTACAAAAAGAAATTATTTTAAATTAATCTTAATTATTATATATAATTAATTATATTAAGCTTTTTACTTACCCTTCTTTTTTATAACTGCTTTTTTTATCTTTTCTACTTTTATTACTTTTTTTATTAATTTTATTTAGTTCTTATCCTATTCCTTTTTAATAATCTCTTAATCCTAACTTTTATTACTCTAGTTTTTTTTAGCTTTTTTTATTAATAATAATATTTAAGGAGTATAAGCTAGAGTTATGTAGTAGTTTTTTTCTAGCTTTATAGGCGCAAAAGATCGACCTTAACGGGGTTACGCTTTTAAAGGAAATTATATAATATAGTATACTTTTTAATTATATAATATACGTAATATACTCTAAGTACGTGCTTAATATAATATAGTGATTTTAATACGAAAACTGCTATATAATTTAAAATAAGTAAGTTACCTTATAGTAGCGCTAGTTAGAAAGGTTAATAATAGAGGTTAGCTATAATAATTAGCTATAATAGTTAGCTATAATAATTAGAGGCGGCCCTTAACCGCAGAAGTTCTAAACTTTAATAATAATATAGAAATTTCTAAAAAAAGGGCTAAATAGGCTAATATTTACTACTTTTTTATTATATTAAAGCTTATAAAAATTCTTTTTATCCTTATTATTTTTAATATTACCCAAAGCTATTTTATTTAAACTAAACAAATTTACTAAACAAATCTACTAAATAAACTTATTAATATATAAACTATTACCTAGATAGCTAGTTAAATAACTAGTTAAGAGGTTAGCTAGTTAAAATACTACTTCGACAAGAACCTACTCTATTCTTAGTATATAGTTAGTAATTAGTAGGCTAGAACTCTCTAAAAATGCCCATTAATAAGTCTACCCCTCTCGGGCTAGGCGCCCTCAGCTAGCTCGACGCTATAATTATTATAGCTAATATAAGTACGCTTAAAAAGTAGTAAAATACTTTTTAATAGTACGGAATTTAGCTAAGTAATAATATAAATACTATAAATAGCTAGGCTAATATAAACGTTAAAATTTAGTATATTAACGCTAGCTTAGAAATTATATTTTATAGAACTAGAAATCCCTCTAATATAGGCTATATTATAAATAAAAGGAAATATATAAAGGGCCTCTTAATTTTTAATAAAAAGGAGTATATAATATAAGATCTAGCTACTTATATAGGCTAGTATTAAGAGGTTTTATATATATTAAAGTAAATATAGCTCGCTTTCTAAATAGCTAAAAGTAAGGGAAGGTTAGGAGCTATTTTAATTAGTAATTAGGTATAGAGCGTAATATACTTAGTTTTCTCTAATACGTAATATATAATACGGCCCCGGTAAATTACTCCGTCGGGGGGATAAGCTAGAGTTATATATATAGCTTTTATATAGTGGTTTTTTTCTAGCTTTATAAGTATAAAAAATCGACCTTAATAAGATTACGCTTTTAAAAAAAATTATATAATATAGTACACTTTTTAACTATATAATACGTATAATATACCCTAAGTACGTACTTAATATAATATAATAATTTCGATATAAAAACTATTATATAATTCGGGATAAGTAAACTACCTTACGGCAGTGCTAGCTAAAAAAGTTAATAATAAAGGTCGGTTATAATAATTAGCTATAATAGTTAGCTATAATAATTAGAGGCGGCCCTTAACTATAGAGGTTCTAAACTTTAATAATAACGTAGAGGTTTTTAAAAAAAAAGGGCTAAATAAGCTAATATTTATTACTTAGAACTTATAAAAATTCTTTCTATCCTTATCGCTTCTAATATTGCCTAAAGCTACTCTTTATTTAAACTAAATAAATCTACTAAATAAATTTACTAAATAAACTTATTAATATATAAACTACTACTTTAATAAGAACTTACTCTCTTAATATATAGTTAGTAATTAGTAAGCTAGAACTAAAAATACTTATTAATAAGTCTACCCCTCTCGGGCTAGGCGCCCTTAGCTAGCTCAACGCTATAATTATCGTAACTAATATAAGTATACTTAAAGATTAATAAAATACTTTTTAATAATATAGAATTTAGCTAGGTAATAATATAAATACTATAAATAGCTAGGCTAATATAAATATTAAAATTTAGTATATTAATATTAATTTAAAAATTATATTTTATAAAACTAAAAATTCTTTTAATACGGGCTATATTATAAATATAAAGGAATATATAAAGGGCCCCCTAACCCTTAATAAAAAAAAGTATATAATATAAGATCTAGCTATTTATATGGGCTAGTACTAAGAGGTTTTATATATATTAAAATAAGTATAGCTCGCCCTTTAAATAGTTAGAAGCGGGGGAAGGTCGGGAGCTATTAATAAAAAAAAGATAACGGTTAAGTTAGTTAACTATTATTTTAATTAATAATTAAGTATAGAGCGCAATATACCTAGTTTTCTTTAATACGTAATATATAGTATAACCCCGGCGGATTACTCCGTTAGGGGGATATATAGCTTTTATAATTAGGTCGTTATATTAATTAACTTATTATTTTTTAGTACTCTTATTAATATTAACTTTATTTTTATATATATTATAATATTATAAGAGGTTTTAATAAAACTTAGCTAGTTCTTAACGTTAGCGTTTATTATTCTCTTATATAGCCTAATTATATTTAGAGAGCGTATATTTAATAGCTTTTTATTTTAATTAAATTCTTAGTATTTTAATTAAAGTCTTTGTAATAAGGCTATTTTTATTCTTAATTAAAGTATTTAAAAAACTATTTTTTTAGTTATTTAGACTAGCTTTATTAAGAGCCGGATTAAGGTATAATAATAATTTAAATAGTAATATATTTAATAAGGATTACGTAACTTAATAAGTTTTAGAAATATTAATTAGGTATATAAGTTAATTATTAATAATAGCGTTTAGATTTTAGTTAGTAGCTTTATTAGTTTAATTATTTATAAAATCTAATTAGGGTTATTACTTATTATAGATCGCTAAGTATTTTTTAATATTTTCGAGGATTAAAATAATAAGGGTAATTCTTTAAAAATAATAAGCTTTTATTTAAAGCTTTTAATTATTCTCTTTATTTTTTTTAAAATATATAAAATTAATAGCCCCCTAACAGAGCAATCCGCTAGGGCCGTACCGTATATTACGTATTAAGAAAAACTAAGTATAATACGCTCTATACCTAATTACTAACTAAAATAGCTCCTAACTTTTTACTACCCGCTTATAGAGCGAGCTTTACTTACTTTAATATATATAAAACCTCTTAATATTAGTCCGCGTAAGTAGCTAGGTTTAGTATAATTTATTCTTTTATATAAATATTATTATTACCTAGGGGGTCTTATAAGAGCTATTTAAAGTACTAGCTTATTACCCTAACCTTCCCCCCGACGGAGCAATCCGCCGGGGCCGTACCGTGTATTACGTATTGGGGAAAACTGGGTATATTGCGCTCCATACCTAACTACTAATCAAAACAGCAGTCAACCGACTCGACCATTGTCTCCCTTTCATCAACAGCTCCCAACCTTCCGCCGCAGTCCTCCCAAGTTCCAGCCGCCTACAGGGCGAGCTTCACCCACTCCAACGCGCACAGGACCTCCTGGTGCCAGCCCGCGTGGGCAGCCAGGTCCAGCATAATCTGTTCTTTTATATGGGTATTATCGTTACCCGGGGGGTCCCG